CATCATGTCCCTCCTGGTAACCGTGCATCTGTTGTGTAAACGCTCGCATCCGACACCTGGTTTTATGCAGAGCATACGTGGGGCTTCTTCTCCCGAGGAGCTCCGGCTTCCCAAAAAAAAAAAAACAAGAATAATTCACCCCCTCATGCTCCCCCACACCCCCCACCCCATACTCGCAAATCCAATTCTGAGCTTGTGATATACCCGGTAGCTTTTAATTAAAAAGGGTTTGATCCCCTCCTTGCACAGCACCTCTGAGTAAATGTAAATGCGAATAGGTGTAAACAGTCAGGAGAGTAAGCGGAAACCCAGAATACCGGAATAGCTCTTTTCCGTTTGAATGGGAAAACAGGGCTTAGGAAAGCAGGTCCGATTTGATCCCTTGTAGTCAAGACTGTTATGAATACATTTGTGATGTTTACTGTCTGTGCTTTTTATTATTTTTTCCCTGTTGTGAATGTGCACATAAGGTTGGTTTTTAAAGTTTCGAGATGCTTTAGAGTTTCTGCAGTGTTTTTGCGGGAGTACATTTCTGAGGGTTCGGTGCTGCTGGATTCCTGGCATCGGTCTTCCCGGGTGTCCAGAGGTCCAAAAGTGCAGAAGTTGCACTGTCGGTATTGAGTTTGTGGTGGAGATTGAGCTGGGGCTGATGCACCCACGGTGTTGAGGTTTATACGCTTGCGATGGACGTTGTCGAAAATGGAGACGTTCCTTCGCAAAGGGGAACCGAAGCCTCGAAACCCTCGAAGTAGCCGGTGATGTGCCTGTGGACATGGACCGCCACAGCATGGCCCTCTTGCTTGTTTCTTCCTGCTCTTACTCTTGGTCGCCTCCCCTTGAGCGGTACCTGGAAATCTGTGCTCCCCTTACAGCATGGCTAGTAATCAACATCCCTGGATCACCACCTCACAAGCTTGGGTAAACCAGAAGGGTTTAGGCGTAATTGGACCGTCTACGTAAACAAAGGGCGGTGGAACGAGAGGCTAATTGGGAGACAGATGTCGTCAGGAATGTGTTTCGCCATGGAAGGAATCGTGCTGACCATGCTGTGTCTTCCTCCATACTGTCATTTAACCCCACGCAAATGGCGGTCTTCTCATCGCACACCAGCCCGCTCTGGGCTGAATTCACCCAACACGTCATGTCTCTGTTGCGTACATACGAGTCCTGTGCATCGTCATTGAGTTACTCTTTTTACATTTAACAATTTACTTTACAAATAAGGACTGTGGGGGGGTCATTCCCCAAAGGACCTCACCAATCACCCTTGACAAGCCAAATAATGCATCAAAGGACCTCCATCCTGCCTCAACAGGCCCACCCCACCCCCCCGCCATTCCCAAACTCTTGTCGTTTTCACTCCTTTATTTATTTGACTGTTCTTCCTGGTGCAGTCGGGCCGGCGGGGGGCCATGGGTTTGGCGGGGAGCCCAGCTCGCTCCCCGTCTGTGAGGAAGCAGACATCGCGGCATGGATCAGGCCGCTGTACGTGGGCCGCTCCCACGCTCCTGAGCCGCTCCCCTGCTTTGCCATGACAACCCGCTGCGTTTTTCCCGCATATGGCATTCCGGCCGGGCCGTGAGGGGCTTCGGGACCCAGCAGAAGTCATCCTCAGGATTACCCTGATAGAGATGTCTGGTTGTTATGTGCTGGAAGGGAGCAGATTCGGCTAGAGGCACCAAAATCCCTGTTAGAGCCTCTCTGTCAAGTCGCGGTTTTGGTGATGTGTTTTCTGGTTGTCTTCTATGTGTATATCCTGCAGTGTGACTGGCACAAGACTGATCGCATGCACCCAGCCAAAGGCCACATCCTGATATGAGGCCACTGACAACATTCATTGCGCTAACTCTGACCGTTTTCGGTTCAGTAATCATGTTTTAGTTTGTAAATCCTCATTGTGTCCCTGTCTCGGCTGGAATGGAAGACACGTGGTTTGCAAAATGAATGCAGAAGTTTCTAGAACCTTGCTCTCCTTCCTCATTGGTATATGAGGAGGTGATCTCTTCAGTCCATCTGCGCACTTCCTCATGCTCTGAGTCAACAAGCCGGTCCTCCGTGTCAAGACCAAATGTTTTTTTTTCTTCTTTTTTCTTTCTTTCTTCTTTTTTTCAGAGGGAAGCCTCTCGGTTTGTGGTTGAGGTAATTAGGTGCGGGAAAGCGCAGAGCCAGTCTCCATGGGCCTGTCACCTTGCTAATTGGCTTCAGGACATCGAGAGCACGCATCATTGTTTGTGGAAAAAGCAACCTTTAAACAGCACTGGCAGGATTTTTATTCCACTGGCGGTAATTTAGCTAAAGCCACTTTAGGACGTGCGATCGTGTTTCCCGAGAGCCTCTGGGATCATATGTAAATCGTTAAATGTGGAGGGCGTGTGATCTTGCTAAAGAAAACCTTTATTATTTTAATTTGTCTATTAGCAATTCTTCATGGGTGTGGCTTTGCCGAGCCTTTAGGCCCCGCCTACTGTTTCGGCTCAAAATGGCCTCCCTGGGGCGTGGTCTGACCAATCAGAGGAATGGGCTTTACGTGGGCTGCTTCGGAGGGGCTCTGTATTCCCGGGCACCCAGGTGACTTTAGCCCGCGGGGTGGAAGGTTGGATTTGGAATGATAAACAGAAGGGACAGAAACTGTCCCCAGTAATGAATAAATAAAGCTGTGTGGCATCGTCCTTAAACGGCCAGTCCCCGGGGGAGTCCCGAGATTATCGTCTCGTGTTGCGGAATCCAGTGTTTATGCTCGGTATGGGCTACAGTGGACTTTCTGCGTTTTATTTTTTTAAAAGCTTGTGTTTCCCTCACAAACACACACTACACAGAAGGCTTAGCCAGCCATTGGGGGGGGGGGGTGCTGTTACTGACAGCCTCTCTCTGATTAAACGGGCCGCGTTGAAACAGTAAGCCTCCGAACCAGCCACCGTTCACCGCAGCGCTATGAGCAAGAGTCCTAAGAGGCTTTGGGCAACTAGTTTTCAAAGAAGACGAATCTCCCTTTCAGAGTTCTTTTCTGTTACACCCCCCCCCCCCCCCCTAATTTAGACTTAAAAGGTCAAGGATCTGTAACCGGCTCTTGTTTCTTTAGAATATTAATGACCTCAGTCTGAATCGCTGGCATCAATAGGTCAGAGGTTATCGGACGGTAAACATGGCGATAAAGCTAATGTGATTAAAAATGCACGGTACGTCCTGCTCGGTCAATAAGTAAAGATAAATAGTCACGCGGCCGCGATGGAGAGCGACAGAGCTGCTAGGATCTGGGACACAAAGGGGGGTAATTGGATTAGACAGGCTGAAGCCTTTCGTTTGGCCCGGGGTCACAGGATCGAGTTCTGCACGACTCGTATGTAACATCTTCTGAGACTCCATGCCGGGGCCGTCCCAACCTGCCACGTTATAAATAGCTGTTTTTTTTGTCAGTTTGAGGACGGAATTGATGTTTCAGTCACGGTAGCTGCCCGCCGCTGTATCGCGTTACGTTAAACCTTTCCACCTGTGTCATTTTGATCGCAGGTTTATTCTGACAGATCACATCAGCCTGTTTTTCTCTAAACTGTTTCCGGTGGTGGGCATGTAGACTGTGTGTGTGTGTAGAGTCGCAGAGGGCTTTTCACAAGCTGGGGTCCTGTGTGATGTTTTGCTGGCATCCTTAAGCAGCCCAGGTTGCTGGGTTTCTTAACTTGGGACTCTTAAAGGTAAGGTTGGCCAGCTTAATGTGTGGTTGGTGGACCTCTTAAAGGTGAGTTTAGTAGCCTCCTTATGTTGAGCATCTTAATGTTGATGGTCTCCTTAAAGTCTCCTTTTTCGAAGGCGTGATTGCCTCCTTATTGACCTCCAGGTGAGGTTGGCCACCTCCTTAAATTGGCCTCCTTAAAGGTGAGATTGGTGGGCTTCTTGAAGGTGAGGTCAGTGGCGCGTGGTGCAGTTCGTGGTGGAACCCTTGTGGGAGCACGGGGGGCCGTGAGCGTGGGGGAGCGTATAGCTGAGCTCATGGGGAAGCACATGGCTGTCTTGTGACCTAAGGCCTTGTCGACTGGTAGGAAGCGACTCTGCCACACAGTCCATCACACTCTCAGTCAACTTGTGTGTAAAAAAAAAAAAAGAACAATTCCCTCGTAGGCTGTTATTCATCTCCCAGTCAGGTTGTACCTGCTTTCGGTATGGATAACTTTGCCTCCATATGACAGGGGCACTGTACTTTAATTGTCCCCCCCTCCCCCAGCTATTTTGTTATCGGTCGCGTGGGAATCGATGGTAAGCGAATGCATGCATGGATAATCAATGGATCATTTCCCTAATTCAATCGGCTGCTGGGCCGATAATTGACGGCCACCCAGAGACCTAACCAGGGTCCCCTGCATGCTAATTGTCCATCTTTCTTTATATATTTAACACTTATCCATTCAGGCGCCTTATCATCCAGACTGCTGGTTATCTATTATAATCATGGGAATTGGCTTTAGCCCTTTTGGGGGTGGGGGGGGGGGGGAGCTGTCTGTGATTACAGCAGGTTGTATGTGTTTTCAGAGGCCTGTCCATTTCGGTGATGGGGGGCTGAGGAGGGGGGAGGTAGACCCCGCCGTTTCCTACACCCGGTGACCGTTGTTCTTGCCACAGGGTCCCCGGCATCACCATCGCCACCGACATCATCTGCGGCTTCCCTGGGGAGACGGACGCCGACTTCCGTGAGACGCTGGCGCTGGTGGAGGAGTACCGATTCCCCTCCCTCTTCATCAACCAGTTCTACCCCCGGCCGGGCACCCCCGCCGCCAGGATGGAGCAGGTTCCTGCCCACGTGGTGAGAGGCGCTGCCGCTTTTAGCCCTGTTCCCATCTCAGCTTGCTGCCCCACCCTCATCCCTACTGACCCCCCAGCCCAGTTTGTGGAGGAGATATTCACATTTGCTAGTTGTGGGGGCAGGAGGGTGCCTTCTGCATATGACTGGAAATAGGATATGTGGGGGGGGGGGAAGACGTACAGTGATAGGAATATATGAAGCTACGTGTGTGATCTTCCCCGCGTCTCGTTTCGTCACCTGAACGCACCGGAAGGCACAGCAGACCGTGATGTCACAGTGTTCCTCTTGGCACAAGGACGCTTTTTCTGCAGCTGTGACTGCCGCTTGGGCTGGGGTCACGCTTAGGACTTTGCCCCCTGGTAGGAGACTCATAAGAAGCATCAACGAGAAGATTTTTCTGCTCTGCTGCGTGTTCAGTGACTACTTAATAGTTACAAGATGTGTTGAAGAAATTAATGTGGAGGCTGGAAGATCTTTGTTGTGATGATGTTAGAGAAAGCCCATTTGTTTATTATTATTATTATTATTGTTATGTATTTGGTGGCAAATATTAGTTGATTCCTTTTTGGAAATATGGTAAGAAACTCTTGCAAGGATCAGGATAACGCCTGTTGTCTGTATGGCTGTTTATGTGGGGAGAGTTTAAGGCATTTGCACCGAAGCTGGGGAATTATGAACTGCTCCAGTTATGTCAGAATATCAGCCGCTCACAGCCTCCGCCGCTTTCTGGCTCGGCCAGGATTAATGGCCTGAAAGATGCTGTTTCTGTGTCTGTGTCTTCATGGTAATTAATACACGCCTCTTCTCCAGCGCCCGAGTGCGGTTTGCCACAAGACAGCTGTAATCCCTCGTTTAATTTTGTTTTAGGATCTCCTTTGTCTGATTTTTTGGAAATTTCTTCTGACTGAGAATAAGCTGGGTCACATGCCAACACCACGGAGGTTTAAAATCATTATGGTTTTTGCTTTTGTGGCCATTGTACTGGTAGCTAGAACAACACAATTCAATCGCAGCCTTTCCCTGCTCACCTGTGAGACACACAGGATGCTTCTCCACCACACCAGGTACCATACTTCGAGAAAATACCTAAAGTACGGTAGTTCAAGGTGTTGGTTTTCCACTGGCATAAAAATTGGTGCTGCTGCTGATGACATCACAACATGAGGCAGGGTTTTTTGTACTGAATTCAAAAAATAGTATTTTATATTATATTATTGGGCTGGACGATGTGCAATATTAATACCAACATCACATGTTATGCGCATCCAATTCTTACATCACTAGTCAGCTTGATTAAGATCAGGCTATTACTTTCAATTCTGTATGGACATTACAGCGCAGGGAGTTTTGCTAAAACATTTTCACTCTGACATTAAAAAAACACTTAGCTAGCTTTGCAGTTTTAACTATTATTCCTTTTATAGATTATCTAATACATGTTTAAAAATCAGCTTAAAGTTGACCTCCGCTGCTTTTGCATGAGCTCTGCATGCGTTCTCCGAGACAATCATAATCATTTTCATCCTTGCCGTTTAAAACACTCCTAGATGGGTTTGTGAGAAATTTATTAACTCCTTTTGGCTTTATAAATATCCCAATATTTTTTACGGCAAAATCAAAATCGCTTGGTTTACGGAAAATCACATCACTAGGACTAAACAAAATACTTTTTAAATTTCTTGTCATGCCATCCTCATCTTTTTCTGGTATCTGTTCTTCCAACCAGATTGCAATTGTTACTATTATTATTGAATTTTTATTTTTTTTTACTTCATTTATCATTGTTTTCTGAGTTTGCAACTTTTTTCAAGAAGTACCCCAGCTGGTTTGGCACATTTGGTACTGGTACCGGAAATCAATGGAAAAGCGAAAGTATCAGAAGTACTGTAACATAAGTACAGTACTTGGTGTGGTGGGAAAGTGCCCACGCATATATACAGGCGAGAGTGAAGCTCTCCAGCACCCCCATACCATCTGGGGTTAAAGGCCTTGCCCGAGCACCCAACAGGGACACAATGTTACTGTGGCTATGGGATTCGAACCAGCAACCTCCTGGGCACAGGCCGACAGTGTGGTGTCCCTATAAGTGAGGTGCTTCCCTCGATCGTGCTCAGCGTTTGCACATTTGTGTTGGGTGCATTATTATAGGATGGAGCCCGGAAATATCAGCCACCAACGCACTTCTGGATCCTGGTCCTCATGGCCCTGCCCTGCCCTGCCCTCCCACCCGTCGGAGGGACAGAGTCACGGATCGAACCTCAGTCTCGGTCTTACGAAGACAGCGAGTCAGGCGGGTCACAGTCATTCTCCACAGCGACATTCATTATGCAATCCAGCTGTTGACAGATGTGCCACAGATGTGAGCCCGTGCCAGAATTTCCTAAGTAGTCAACCTAATTCAAACATTTATCATGGCTAATGATGCTCTAATACTGTGGGAAGGAGGAACCGTCTCCGTGGGATTTATCTTGTTTTCCCGTCCCGCTCCATGCGAGAGATATTTGTTCTTCACTATTTTTGATTTTCAAGTGGGGAAAATATGGCACTGAGATGCAAATAAGCCCATAAATAACCCTCCGAAATGGTACCTCAGTACAGCAGTGTAGAAATACATGTGCTCATTAAGTCAGGTAGATGAACCGCAGGGTGTGTTAAACAGCAGACCCGTGTAGATCCTCGGAGTTTTCTTTGTTAAAGGTCTGTGGGTATCCCTCACATCTTTGCATTATCTACATCATCGACGGCTTGACATTGCTGTCTGTAATGATGTTCATTTGTGTCTCTCATTCTCGTTTTTAATTTATCTATTTTTTAAAAAGAAACATTCTGGGGAACTCAGAGACTTGGGGAGAATCCATTATACTTTGGTGGAGATCCTCAGCTTTTTAAGTGAAAACTGCGAGCTTGTTAATTTTGCACGCTGGCCCTTTAAGGTCGCGTCCTTTCACTTTAACCCAAGGCAAACTGTCTTCAGATGTGAGTGAATGATTATCTCCTAATTGAAAATCCATGGGGTTCGTTTATTGAGTTTATCGATTGTTAAGCAGAATTTCTTGGCTTGTTGCTGTGATTATTGAAAGACGTACAGGTTCGAGTGTCAGAGTGTTACTGTACTGTTGCTGTCAGACGGTCTTAAAGGAAGACGTACAGGTTCGAGGGTCAGAGTGTTACTGTACTGTTACTGTCAGACGGTCTTAAAGGAAGACGTACAGGTTCGAGGGTCAGTGTTACTGTACTGTTACTGTAAGTCATGCTCCTTAAAGCTGTACCTTCCCTCTCTCTGTCCCCCTCCCCCTCCCCTTCCCCCTGCCTTCAGCCCTCCCCTTCCCCCTGCCTTCAGCCCTCCCTTCCTAGCCAGCAGCACCTGTTCGTACCCGCGCCACCATGCCGTGTCTGTCACCGCCCTCCTCCCAGAGCCCGGCCCGCTCACCTCCGCTCCCTGGGTCGCACGTTAATAATGCGTCCAGATGGCCAGTGTGCCCCAGGCTGCCCCTGTGGGCGCCAGAGCGGGGGCCCCCGTCTTCCAGGTCGGCTGGTAGACGCCTCCGTCATCCCCGGTGGTCCCGCAGTGATGAACACGCGGTTCAGTGTGCCGTAAATCCGGGGGACGGCGTAGGTCCTCAGGACGGCAGTGCTTGTAATTGCCCCCGTGCGGGTAAACGAGCTTGAGGTCTGCAGAGGTCCTGCCCTGCTGTTTGCCCCTTCAGGCCTCTCTGCCAGGGTGTCTGCCATTAACTGGCATTATTTTTCCAGAATAAATGGGCTGGGCTGAAAGCTGGGCTCGGGGGGCTCAGAAGTGACATAGAATATTCTGGAAAACGCTCATTCCATTGATTTACATGGTACCACACCTAGACTAGCCAGTCCTCTGCCCACGTTTAACTGCTACATCGTGATATGGTCATCATATTACATATCCTGTGGTGTTAACAGTGAGTTTTGCTCACTTTTTAGCACGTATTATCTGGGCTTTTTAAAGTTACACCTATGCATATTTAGCTGTGTGTAATTTATTGTCTTTGGTCATTTTTTAAAGTCTTATGTCAGTTTATCCTGTAATGACTGGAGAGCTGTTTCACTTTACAAACTCCTGTCATGCTGAGTTTATTGTTAATATGGACACATCTGAACTGGTTCATAAGTGTGTTTGCTTAGAAGCATCCTGGTATTCTGGTGATTCCCGCCTTTTTCTAAAAACGCTATCGGCAGAAGTGCCGTTGTTTTGAGAATGCATGTCCGTGTCATTTTTGCGGGCCTTGGAGAGCTCAGCCATTGTTTGTTGATTTATTAGCCTTTGAATGTTAGCTTTTTATTTTGTTTAGCATCATAGTACCTTTGTATTATATGTGTATATAAAAGATAACCATTGTAGTGGAGATGGATCCAAGCAACTAAACAATATGATTGGTTATATCTCTGAACTAGTCATTTTTTGTGCAAGTAAAACTCACACAAGCCTCTGAAACTCATCACCCTGGGGCAGGCCATTTGGAAGCTGCTCCTGGAGAGCAGCTGTGTGGATTGAGAGTCTAAACTGTCCACTTTACCTGAGACTGGTAGGCAGCTCTTTGGGTTCTGGAGCCGGTGAAGCAGACAGTAGGAGGATGTACGTCATAGACCTGCCCATGTTGTACGGTACACTAATGGGAATGGCAAACTGGCCCTGTGAGCCTCACTGGTCTCATCCCGCTGAGAGTCTGGATGAGGTTTGAAAAGGGCCGTCCGAAAAGGGCTTCCCAGGACCAGAACAGTAAGAGCTTCTAGAGACCAGAAATGTGAGGGTTTCCTGGGATCAAAAGCGCGATGGCTACCTGCAACCAGAAGGCAAGGGTTTCCTGGGACCATGAGTGAGGACTTCCTGGGAGCAGAAAGGTGGGGCACATCTGTCAGTCAGTGCACAGCTCTCTGCCTGAGCAGCCATTGGTGGCCCTGGCAAGGTGTGAGCTCCCAGCGAGAGTCGCGTGCGCTCCGAGGGTGGCGCCATTTCACCCGCACGCGTCAGCCAGGAAAAAGGGGGGGAAGGAAGAAAAAAAATACACGAGGCAGATGGACAACGTCGGAGGTGTGATCGCTCATCATCGCCGCGGCAGCAGACCCATGTGGTGTGTGGATGTTGAAAATTGCCACATCGTGCTGCAAAATTAACCCCTCGTGTTGAAGACGTTTTCACCTGAAGACTGGTGAGAAGGTGCCAGTCCGGACGTTTGGAAGACTGTTGTTTTCTTCCGGACGCATGTACTGCGTGAATCACACTCTGCAAGTTCCCCTTGCTGAGTTTAGTCGTCTGCTCCATCCTTCCTGTCTTTTGTTGGCCCTCACTGCTGCCGCTTAGCAATAACTGCGGTCTTCTTTGGCAGACTTGCGCTGTTGCCGTGACATCATCATGGGACTGAAAGGCTTTGGGTTCTGGGAGGAGGAAGTGAAGTCACACCGGCTCGGACAGACAGGAAACGGCCATTGATTCCACTGCGTTCTGTGCTGGTCTACCTGATGGTCGATACCAAGTTGCAGTAGCTCACACAGAACATTCAGTCGATTCTCAAGGGAATCCGCAGCCCTCGGTGCCCTTGGATGACATTGGACTTTGGGTACCGTTTCAAAACAGATGGTGGGGGGGCAGTTGCAGGACTTATCAGGATTATTTTTCTCGCCCCGCGCTGTGGGAGTGTTTGAGCCTCCCTGTTAATAGGCTCAAATATTGAGGCTCTCAAGGTCAGATAGGGTTTCATCATTTTTTATCAAATTCCTGCTATTTTCCCCCGAATGAAGATATGTGATTTGGGGAAGAAAGAATGTATTCTCTTAAGGGCGGCCGCAGGTTATCAGCCAGCCCTAACCCCTCCTCATTCCCCCACCCCCCTGCGGTGGAAATCGAATGGAGGGCCGTGAGGCATTCGCCTGGAATAGAGGGGCTCTCAATTGACAGAATTGGATGCAAACATCTAAGCTATTGGTCTGCCCCCCCCCCCACCAGCACGGCGTGCTATCGAGCGAAACCTGCT